TAGGATAAACTTTGTAGGATAGCAGATAAATGCAAGAAATTGGCAAAATGATAACCTGGGAGATTGGCGGTATTTCCAGAGCTGTAAAAGGCTGCAGAATGTGCCTTTGACAGAATGTGCTTCCCAGTTAGCGTACTTCGTGCTAGATTTTTTTATTGGCCGTTTAGTATTTTGAGTTCAGAAACTTAGAATGAAAAGATGCTAAAGGGAAGGAAAGACTGAAAAAAAAGGGGAAGCCAGCAAACCGCAAAGGAAGCAGAGAAGGAAATGGATGTATATGGCTTTTAAAGTGGTTTAATTTGTGCCCGAAAGGCAGTGGAGACTTAGCTTTAAGAGCTCTTAGTTGGCTTGTTTATTTATTTATCATACAAATGTGTATATAGCTGAATATAACATACGCTAACAGTGTGCAACCAAAAACCTACAGTTATGTATGCAGAATCCAAGAATACAGTATGTGAACAGTTTGCACTTCAGAGAAAGCACGAGTGGGGGAAAAATTGATCTCAAACTGGTACCTAAAAGTAAAAAAATTGCAGTTGTGCCCACCCGTATTACTCAAGATGTCAGTCCATAGGGAAGAAGCTCAAATGGAAAGGGCTCTGTTCTTGATAGCCATGAATCATAACGCAGTTGTGCCCACCCGTATTACTTCCATAGTGAAGAAGCTCAAATGGCAAAGGCTCTGTTCTTGATAGCCATGAATCATAATGCCACCGTGTAGGGTACACCATGTCCGGGTAGGTAGCCCACTTGGGTGGGTGGTGAGCAAAGAATGAATGGAAGAGCATGTTGGAGCTCTTCAACATGGATGGGGAAAAGGAGATATAAGTGGTGTGTGAGATTGTCAGGCGAGATGGCAAGAGAACACCCTTCCTTTTTTGTAAGCCTGTCTTGCAAGAGGAGTAGGATAGCTTTTAAATGGAACCAAAAAAAGCCAACACGAAATGAAAGGAGAAAGATTCAAGAAAAGCTTGGAAAGAACCCACAGATGATTCGCAGAGCGGGACATAAATATATTTGTGTGCTGTTGGTTTCTGCAGGAGGAACATTCAGGCAGATCTCACAGGCACGCTGAACTGGCATAGCCTTAACACATGCCTAAGCACCTCACAAAGAACTAGATATCAATTAGCACGTGCTCACATGCACATCAAATAAGGTAACCCTATGAAATATGCACCACCTAAAGGTCCTGTCCTTAAAGAGCCCCTGTTCAGATTCTGAGCATAGAAGATGGTGGCTTTCTTTTTTTAGTCAATCCATCTCAATCCAGTCAATCAATCCTACTGCCTTCCGTTTTTCCCAGCGTTACTGTCTTTCTAGTGAGTCTTGTCTTCTCACGCTGCATCTAAAGCATAGCAGTTTTGAGAGCTGATCTACAGCCCACTTTTGGTATTTCCATTGCAAGGAGAGGACAGAAATTTTGAACCCATTTGTACCCTTCCTGCCAAATTCAATGCCCCGTCCACCTGCTCCCACTCCTATTTTATTCCCAGACTCCTCCCTGCTTCTGGATCATTCCCATCAAGTAGAATTAGGAGGAGGGAAGAAGGGGAGGGAAAGGACAACCATGATGTTTAACCCTTAATTTTCCAGAACTCAAGAGCCGTAAATCCTTCTTATACAATTGCCACCCTGCTCCCTCCTCAGAAGAGCCTCTTACATGAAGCTCAGACAGGTGCAAGGGTTGACAACATAATCCCTTCTCCACCACTCCCACCATGACAGTTGCAAGACGACAGGGAGAGAAGGAACGAGAAGCTATCAGAATAATTAAAATACAGTACATCGCATTGGTGGAGGGGAGTCAGAATATATCCACCATCTTTCTCCCACCCAAGAGACCAAAATCACCTCTACAGATGTTCTCTCCTGCTCTAGTCCTCAAGATACGGATAGATTGCCAAGCCTAGATGTTGGGTGTAACATGCATCTCTTTCACCTCAACTCTGTCACTGTCCGCTCTCCCTGCCGGCCTTCCTAATTGTCCAAAATTAACCCTCCCAAAAGCCAAACAAATCTCAGGCAGTCTCCAAACACTCTCCAAAGCATTCCCAAAGTCCACATCTGGAATGACCATGACCAACCCTTCTAATCCCCCTTGTCCACCCCTTACAACATACATAAACATCTTGTGGATTTTTCCCCCAGTTCCTCCATTTCCCAGTTTTTCCCATGGTATCCAAATTAGAGAATTGGATATAGTGTATCTTGCTTAAAGCCAAGGGAAAGCTTTGAGAAAATAGCTAACACCACTCCTGCAAAAAAAAGAGGAAGAGTAAGCAGTTTCTCCTCTCGGCCTCTCTTGACCAAACTCTTCTAAGGGTCATGGGAGGAGATCCCTAAATCTAGTCCTGTCTCTCTTGCTTTTTTAACCCACTAGGCCAGGAACAGCAGGCTGAACCACCAACAACCATGGGTCCCCCCCACCCCGTTCTTCCCTGCCCGCAGTAAACAGAGACCCACAACCACACTCACTAAAAACTACAGACATGTTCTTACCAAGATTTGTTCCACAAACTACTTTCGGTGCTTCCAAAAAAAAAAAAAACAAAAAAAAAAAAAAAAACCCCCACCAAAAAACCCCACAAGTCCCCCAAAAAATATTCCAGCTGCTAAATCCAGGCTTATTCTTGTAGCAAAAAGAACCCAGGCATCCAGTCAAAAGGAGACAAAGTCACTCCAGCAAAAGGCAAAGATTAATCCTGGCATCCATCAGCCATTTCAGGGAGGTTGGGTGTGGAAGGACAGAGTTTTTTCCCCCCAGGACCGCAGAGCTCCTTCCCTTCCCTGGAAATTCCCTGTGAGGGGCCACAGGGAACACCAGGCGCTGGGAGCCACTGAGTAGAGGGTCCCCCTTGGATCCAAAGAGCAGCACACCAAACGGTAGACCTGGGTGTTTGCGCACTCTCAGGCTGGTGCCAGTGGGGGGGGGAGGAGGGAGGGAGAGGGGGTGTTGTTGTTTTTTCTAAAACCCATAATCCATGTTCGCTGTCTCTTAACACTGCTAATCAGATTAGGTCTTCTTGCTGGTGTGTGTGTGTGTGTGCAGGGGGTGGGGAGAGAGAGAGAGATGGAAGGGGTGGGGGAGAGTATGTGTCCACGTGTTCAGGGTGCCCAAGAGTTTTATGATCGGTGTCCTCGGACAGTTCATCTCCGGCAAGGACGTGGGAGATGAGCGAGTGGGTGCCCAACCACTTTGGATGCGTGGAAGCGGCCAGACGGCAAAATGCAAGGGCGGAGGGTAAAGGGTGCAAAGTTAAGTAGCTGGATGGAGGAAGGGGTGATGAGGCAGAGTGCTCACAGGGCAAGGGAGTTTGGAAAGACAGAAGAGAGGAGACAGTCGGCAGCAGATGGAACAGAAAGCTGGGATAAAAGAGGAGCCACAGAGGAGAGCATTCCAGCAACCAGGAAACCTGCCAAGGTCCTCTTGCTTTTCACTTGGCACCGAGAGAAGCCCCACCCTAGAAAGGAAGACAGGTCAAGGCACGTCAAGTCCAGTCAACTTGGACGAAAGAGGATGTTCAGGTGGCTCAACAAGATTTAAAAAAAATGCAAAGCAAAGTCCAGTCAACTTGGACTAAAGAGGATGTTCAGGTGGCTCAGCAAGATTTTTTTAAAAATGCAAAGCTTTGTACAAAAATCACAAAGCAAAGACAGGGCAGCGTTTGTGAAATGTGGGCCAAGAAGGTTAGCAAAGGCAAGCGCTGTGAGGAGATACGATTGGAGCTGCCCCAAAGCAACAGAGGTATGTGACATTGGCAGGAAGACTGCCTAGAGTAATGGAAGGGTGGGTAGGGTCTTTTTATTATTATTATTATTATTATTATGGAGAGATGCTCTTCAAATACCAAGCCGCTTTGTCATACAGCAAAGCAAGGGCTCCAGGAGGTAGGAAGTCTGGATGGTGTCTCCTCGTTAGCAAGGGCCTGTGGCGCAAGCAAAGAATGTGAAAGAAAAGATTTCTTCTCGGACGTTTCTGAAGAAGCTTCCACTTTAAAGATCAGGAGCAGCTGGTGAGGCACAGAAGAAAACAGAAGGGAAAAAACGCACAGAGAGAAAAAAGCAAAGCAGCTGGCCACACAGCCAGGAATAAACCTTAGGACAATCTGTACTCATCACTAGAGTCGTTTTTGAGAGTGGAGGAGGAAAGTGTTTATTTTCTGGGTCTTGGGAGTGCTGATGACTGCAGTAAAGTGTTCCCCCACCCCTTTGCAATTCAAAATCCCACACCTGAAGACATGTACATGCATTTGCCTTGGACTTTCCTTGTGGCTGTTTATTAACACAGGCTTAAGTTTCCTATTTTGGAGGGAAATATGTAAGAGGTGCGTTCACAACATTGCTGTAATTTGAAATGTGGGATGAGAGGAGAGGCAAGTAACTTGCTAGAATATCAGCAGTGTTCTGCATGTATATCTGTGTGTATATGTGCAGGCATATGTGTTTTTCTAGGATATAGTCATGCTGTTTCAGTGGAACAACAGAAAAAGCATGAATCTTGTGACACCTTTAAAACTAATAGATGTATTACAGACTATAATCTACTTCTTCAAATGAAGAAGCTTATAATTATCCATAAAAGCTCAAGATAAAACAAGTTTGTCGGCGTTAAAGATAACACAAGATTCCCCCTTTGTATGTGTTGCATTTCACAGCTGCTTGGCTGTGGCCAAGGGGAGGAAGAGGCTGAATTTATGTGAGGTTTAATAACTCAGAAAGCTTGCCATATTTCAGATGTTAGGTCTCCCAGATCTGAACCTCTTATTTTCAGGGAGAAAACTGATGGATTTCAGTAGAATTCTGCCCAAGAAAAAGAAGGAAGCTAGTTCTTTGCTTGAAGAATGACACCTTTCAAAGACCAGATCTTAAAAGGGAGATTACATGGGAGGGGGGGCAAGGGGTAACACATAGGATGTGGAAGAAAAGGATAATAGCTTATATGTATTCCAAGGATCAGATGAACCGAGTGAGGAAGGAGAAGACAAACATACTGCTTAGAACCAACAGTCTTTTATTTAGAAAATAATCACAATACAAAAATAATTAACTGTGCAAAAAAGAGCAAACATGTACAGCAAAGCCAGGTGTGTCTAAAACAGCACACCCAGAATGGAATACTCCAAAACGTCAGGATACAGAGTATCAGAGGCATAGAGGTTTCAGGTAGAACAGGGGAGGGAGGCACCCCACCACTGTACACTTATGTGCTCCCCAGCCAGCCAGCAGCCTGCCTTGGAACCGGGGGCTCCCTTCACTCTACGGACCAGCCACAGCCGACTTGAGGAAGGTGGGGGGGGCACAGAAAGGCCGATGCAAAATAATTCTCCAAGAGTATTCTCGAAGGCTTTCACGGCTGGGATCCGATGGTGGTTGTAGGTTTTTCGGGCTGTTTCAGCCGCTTTCTGAAACACGGCCAAACAGCCCGAAAAACCTACAACCACCCAATTCTCCAAGAGCTAAGGAGACCCTGGCCCTTCTGACATTGGTTGAGACACCTGAAACGGGACCGCAGTTCTTTTTTTAAAAAATTGGCACTGGAGGATTTAAACCAAGTGCATAAAAAAAAGTAAGAAAATGGCACTCCTTATAAAGGCAACCTTTTTTTTACATCATGTTGAAGTCAATGGTGGAGAGCAAATCAGGGAGTGAAGGGTGATTTCATCCAGTGAAGGGCTTACAGATGCCCTGCCGGGGGCCCAGGCAGCACAGACTTTTAAGAGGCTAGGGATGGGATGGAGGAAGCAGCCCATCAACAGGATCATCTCCACACACTTCCTCCCCGGCTGGAACGAGGGTTGGGGGCTGGCGTTCCAGACGGCTTCTTCCCAGCTTTGGCAGAGGGCTGGGGCTTCTCACGTCCAGTCCCCGAAGTGCCCATCCGGCGGGCAGGAGCCACCTGAAGAGAAGAGAGGACAGTCATCATTTCTGACCGACAGCCATGTCCTGAAAGGACAGCCCGGATTCTGCTATCATGACACGCTTGCAGAGCAAAGTTTTGCCCTGTTCCTCTGTTACATCCTCCCACTTGGCCCCACAGAACGCTAAGATTTCTCTCCCACTCCCCGCCTTTAATAAAGATGACAAACATGCCTCTTTTCTCAGACCTTCCGTCATCTTAAGATCAGGGTTCCGCCGGACTTGCAGATTTCCTACACCTTTTGCTTCTACCCTGGAGATGAAAGTTAAAAAAAACACACACACACAAGACAATGGCAAATATTGCTACAGAATGGCACCTAAGCATCCTATCTCACACTGCCTCAAACTCTGTACATTGAGTTCTTGGCTTTGCTCCCCCTTCAGAACAGTTTTAAAAACAGATATAGATATAAATCAGAAAGCCCCAGAATAGAATTCACCTCTTTCCACAGCCCCATGTTAACAGATGGCAGCGCCTCTTTGGAAGCCCAGCTTCAAGCCTTACCTGCTATGGCCCATCTCCCGCAAATATTTGTACAGTTCCTCGGTCGAAGGCACCGGCCTCCCCTTCGCCTGGTACTGTTTCAGTAGCCGCGAAAGTTCAGCCACCTGCTTTGGAGGTAGGATTCCTTCTTCCTGAACTGGGTAGGAGAAGAAAGGGAGAAATATAGCAGGGAGGAAACATAGCTGAGAGCAGAAACGATGCTAAAAATCTTAGGAGTCACTAGCAGGGTTTTGACATACCAGGGTTCTGTGTCGAGAGGCTGCTGGTGTCCTGGTTCAAGCAGATCGGCCCACTTTTGGGCAAGGGGACCTTCATCTTCTGGACCGCAGTGTTGCTGCTGGGTTGGATGCGGATGGTGTTGGCGGAAGGCTGTGACGCTTCCCAAAGAGCTGTGGACCGTTCATGATAAGACAGGGAAGTGCCTAGGATGAAAATCAGGATACATTAAGTGGTGGAGGCTGAGAGTCCAGGCATTGCCCCCGCTTTAGCATGCATGGCATTCACGGTGGTTCTGGGAATACCCCCTTCCTTCATATACCAGTTTCCGGGTTCAGTTGGGAAAAAAGAGAAGCTCTGGGCCTGCAAAAAGAGGGCTATGGGGGAAGACCGGCATCTTCCTGTAGGGTTGCCCATCTTTGGTCCAGACGGATGCTTTATGCTCCTACATAGAACACAGCCAGGAGCCATTGTGGGATGACCGTGGACCTCTCGTGGAGCAAAAGAGAAGGAAGACAAGCTGACTCTTACCAAACTGTGTCTGGTTTGTGGTATCTGTTGGGCTGACCACGGAAAAACCTTCTTGCTTTTGAGCAGCACCGCTTTCATTTACAGAATGGTCCCAAAGCTAGGAGGAATGGAAGCAAAAGAGTGAGACGGGCCACCACTGAGGTCTTTTAAAATCTGCCAGCAATTCCTCAGCAACTTAAAATGACGGGTGGCAAAATATCTGGCGTTACTTGCCTAAAAGGATTGTGTATTTCTAACATACCATCCGGAATACACCCAGTAATATCTGGCATCTGAAAGGAAGCAGGGTTAGGTCTGGATAATACTTGGAAGAGAAAACACAAGGCTCTCCAGGGAGGGCCAGGGAAGAATCTTGTGGGAAACCACAGGAAGCCACTGCGGTCAGTCGTGGCTGAAAACACTGCGCTTGATGGACTCAAGGATCTGGCTCACTCCCTCGAGGGCCACTTCCTACATTCCTACAACTGTGCTACAGAAATGAGAGCAAGCCGCCAATTTTTTATATATATATATTTTTTGGAGTGGATAAAAGTTTTAAAATAGTGGGTTTTTTAAAAATCAACTAGAATAAGTGTCTCCCAATTCAAAACAAAATCTGCATTTTTCCTGAACGTGCTACTATCTATACTTATAACCTATCAATGCTGAGTTACCTCCCTTATCTAAAGCAGTATGAGTTTAAAGGCTGCTTTTCCATCATAGAGGGTGGACAGAGAATATCTGGACCTTCAAGACAAATATTTTAAAAGTTAGTAAAATTGCACACTCAGTTGTGCGTGGTATTTTTAAGACAGTCTTGCTACCGGGCCTGAAAAAACTAGCAAGTCATTCTGAAGACTAGGACCCAGGAATGATCCTCTTGTGTATCACCAGGATCCAGAGCATGGGTAAGTTGCTTTCTCAGACTACAATTCCCAGAATCCCCAGCTGGCATGCCAAGCCACCTGGGGAATTCTGGGTGGTTGCTGTTCAGAGAAGAAATGAGGTTTCTAAGTTACGACACGCTCCTAACCCTCTGCAGGCTGGGAAAGGAAGGAAGTATGCTTACCAGGCGCATATAGTAATTTATGTCATGCTGCGTCAGCTGACCACTGCTTTCTGAGCTATTGTGGTGGGAGAGCTCAGCCTCATTCCCAGCCCCATCCGTCAGGGTCTCATCTGTGTCATCCGTGAATGGATGCTCGGCGAGGTTCTCAGGGCGGAACGGGAGACCTAAAATTGGGTATGTCAGGGAAATAGAAATTGGGGAGAGCCAGCGTGAGATATTTGCTTAGCTATGAAATCGGGCTTTTCTGCTAGTCCAGGCCACGTGGCACATTCACATTCTGAAAAAACGTAAATGCATGATGTGCTACTTCTGAAGATTATCTAAGCAGGCAGAATTTATTTTAAACCTTACATGTTACGTGAAGGCCACAGGAGACGTTATGCTGGGCTGCTAGATTTACCACTAGTTTCATTCCATCTTAATGATGGTATCAGAATGATCTTAACTCTCTTGCACCAGATGCTTTTTTTACAAAACACACTGAATGGGGGAAAAGGATATTTTTATGATCCCAGTGGGAATTCGAATGTTGGGAGTCAGGGACCCATTTGAATTGGGTCCCAGTTCTTGGAGAAAGGCAGGATAGAGATTAAATCTGTCAATCACCTAAAGAGGCTTTCAGGAACGCTTATTTCATCCCCAGTAAAAATTCCATTTTCCTTGGAAATGGGGCCAGCCTGACATCCATGGCACATCACCTTTGCTTCTAGGCATTGTGGTTTGTTCAAAACAAAACAAAACAAAACAAAACCTCACAAGAGCTGAAATCCTCTTGTGTAGCTACGCACACAGAGTCACCTTTGGGAGGCAAGCAGCCTCTAGCTACGGGATCACCGTAGGCATGATCCGCTGCATGTTGAATCGCACAACTCAGTAAGCAACAGATGATGCCTAGGGAGATTTCCAAAGGCTACACTATCTGTGGTATGCTAGCGTAAAGAGGCAAGAGAATTTTGGCCAACATGAAACTTTTTTTAAAATCCAAATAGAATACACTGTTTGAAACAACAACAAAAAAGTTGGTGTCTTTTTTTTTAAGCCTCAGCTGCTTCTTGGGGGAAAAAAGAATGAAATGTTGACAGCAAGGAGTTAAAAACTTGCGCTAAAACGTCTCCAAGGGACAACGCCACCAAGGGCTCCCTTAGAAAGCCCTGTCGCCATATGGAGTTTACAACACCGTGGAAATCTGCAGGCTGAAATGTCCCATTCTTGGAACCAGGATGGCTGAAGACACAGGTCATCTGCTACTCATATGGTGGTTGAAAGGGGTGCAGCGTTGTAATAAGAGGTCAGCAGATAATCTTCAGCTGGTCAGTTTGCTAGCAGGCTAACTCAAAACTCTTTTAGACCAAGACGATGAACATAATCTGTTTCATTCAAAATAGTTATATGGGTTTAAGAGAGAAGAGTCCTTTAGACCAAGAAAAGACAATGAACCTAATCTGTTTCATTCAAAATAGTTATATGGGTTTAAGAGAGAAAATGTCCCAACAGGAGCTTAGAGATGTTTGCTTTTTTTTTTGGGGGGGGGGGAGAGAGACTACAACTCAGAGAATGTGCCAATAACTATAGAGGAGCTGTAGCCTCAAAATGAGCAGGGGGGTCTAATCTCTGAGCCACACACCTGGACCGACGACGGTCGCATCCATCTGAGGTTCGAGTGGCTGGAATCCCTGCTGGCTGAGAAGGCTGTAGTTCAGGACGTGGCTGAAATCTGAGGAAGGGCGGCTCGGGTCAGGGAGGAGGGGTAAAAACTGCTGGTAAGCCTGGCGCACCGACTTCTCTGGGGCTTCGCAGGGCCCTTGAGATTTGCTGCGCTGGGTGACAGGCTGGAGAGGGATGGCCTGGGCCCACGCCCGCGACACACCATCTCCAGCAGCCTGGCTGCTCTCCAGAGCATCCACCTTCTGGATCGTCTTCACAGACTCGGACGGCTGCGACGATTCTGGGTCAGAAGAGGCAGGGTCTGTGTCAAAAGGAGCCTCCTAGCAAATGGAAGGGGAGAAGTTAAGGAAAACGGCAAGGCCACCACCTGTCCTGGAGCTCGGAAGATGCCGGCCGACAGACTGGCCCGGGAATCTGGGAGCTGTTCTCCAAAACAACAACAGCAACAACAACAACCCTGATCTGAACCAGCAAGGGAAACGGCGGCAAAAAAGACCTTCCCTCAAAAATTCAGAATCAAGCAACAGATATTCTGCATTATTTTACAGTCCACCAAAGATTGGGTCTACCTGTGGGTGGTCACAGAACAAAGGAAAGGCTAATTGCGTTGGGTCTATCTGTGGGTGGCTACGGAACAAAGGAAAGGCTAATAGCCTTGCAGAGAGAGAACAGAAGGAGTTGAGGACAGTTGTCCAAACCAGCAGAGCCTCCCGGCAATGCTCCGAGGGCTCTTTTGATTGACTTAGCATAATTACACAGTATGTTATGAGAGAAACAGATAGGATAAAAAGGTAAAGTTTCCACCTTGACATTTAGTCCAGTCGTGTCCGACTCTAGGGCACGGTGCTCATCCCCGTTTCCAAGCTGTAGAGCCAACTTTGTCCGAAGACTTTCCGTGGTCACATGGCCAGCGCGACTAGACATGGAACACTGTGACCTTCCCACCAAGGTGGTACCTATTTATCGACGAGCATTTTTACATGCTCAACTGGCTAGGTTGGCAGGAGCTAGGACAAGCGACGGGAGCTCCCTCCGTCGCGTGGATTCAATCTTACGATGGCTGGCCTTCAGACCTTGCAGCACAGAGGCTTCTGCGGTTTACCGCAGAGCCACCACGTCCCACAGGATATTGGCTACCTAATCATTAACTAGGGTGGGCTAAAATAACCCTTTGATCTTAGGCTCTACCTCTAAGTGGAAGGGCAGAAGAGGGGGCTACCCCGCCTCCTGGCCATTGCTGCATCCTGCCAGGAGTGTACACATATCACTGGAACAGAGTCCAAGCCACAACCTTAGGCAGGAGTTTCCCATATCTGCCTGAAAGCTATCAAATCCTTTGAATTTTCTATGTTCATCTTCGGCACCATGAAAGGGTGAGCCGTTCTTCTGGCTTCCACCCTCTAAGGAGGTAGGGGCAGCCTGGAACTTGGAGAATTTTCATTTCTGGTGGGTGACAGCATCCAAAAGGTATAAATTTTCTGGAGCAACCCGGCCAGTTCGTCAAAGCCCAGATGAGGCATGTCCTCCTTCTAGCTCACTCACTTAAGCCCTGCTGGTGCATCAGCACTCCCTAAGCACTCCTCTGTCGTTCTTGCTCGAGGCTGGGGGAGCAGGGACGGCTGGGAGGGAGGGCAACTCTGCTTCCAATGCAAAGAAGGATCAAGGACAAGGACCGTGGGAGCATTCACCTGCAGCTGGGCTTTCGTAGAGCTCTGGGAGGAGGCCCCGCTGCCGGCCAAGAGGCGCAAGGCCTCATTCCAGTGGGCCTGCATCATGGCCTGGAACTGGCTCACCATCTCAGCCCGCTGGGCCTCCAGCCGCCGATACTGGTTCTGCAGTTCTCGCGCCTCTTCTTGATGTCTCGAGAGCCTTGTCGGGGACGGGGCGATGATTAAGGAAAAAAAAATGACACCATGGCTGTAAAATGCAAAGGACAACTGGAGACAGGACCCCAGGTGGGAAGAGGCAGAAGGGCCCTCGGATCCTCCCTCTCCCCCTGAAGCCATGGTAACACCAGCCCTTTGGAATGCGCTTCCAGTCGAGCTGCGCCTGGCCTCCCCCACTTTCGACTTTTAAGAGGCTCCGGGAAACGATATTTTTCTAAAAGGCTTTTGAAGGCCTCCTCTAATGACGGTCAGCCTTGAACGGGTCGTCTTACTTCTGTTTAACGCTCTTAATGTGCTAGTCTCTTGCAGCTGATGGATTTGTTTTTGTTTTCATAATTTCATCTTATTGCTTGCTGTCCATCCATCCATCCATCCATCCATCCATCCATCCATCCATCCATCCATCCATCCATCCATCCATCATACTTCTATCATACCTTCCTCCCCAAAAGAGTTCCTATCTAAGGAAGGAACTTTTCCAAGTACTGCCTTGTCTCATAATGCATGGATCTCTTGTACGCTGCCCCACCTGAGCTCATAGTCTTCAATGAGATGCCGCTGACGCTCCTCCCTCTCGGCCAGGTCCGACTTGAACTGGGCTAGCTGGCCAGCCAGCTCTTTCTCATGGTGGCTGCTGAGTTCCAACAGCTGTTTCCTGTCAAAGCAGAGAAGGAAGGAGGTTGTTTATAAAATAAGCCTCTACCATGGATCAACCATGCCCAGGGCTGGAAACAGTTATCTTGTTTTGGACTTCAACTCCCAGAATCCCCCGAGAGAAGGATGGATACCATGGATCAGCCATGCCCAGGGCCGGAAACGGTTATCTTGTTTTGGACTTCAACTCCCAGGATCCCCAAGCCAACAAAGGGACTTCTGGAGGTTACCAACCCCTTACCCTAGAACATCTACCTCACCCACAGTCCTCTGACACACACATAGGATTGTTCATGTGTTCGTGCACCTCTTGCAAACAAAAGCCACAGAAATGAAGATGGGACTTCTGGAGGTTACCAACCCTTTACCCTAGAATATCTACCTCACCCACAATCCTCTGACACACACATAGCATTGTTCCTGTGTTCGTGCACCCTTGCAAACAAAAGCCACAGAAATGAAGATGAGCTACAAAAGTATCTATTTTAACTGTATTTTAATTGTTTTCTCTTTCTATTGTATTTTAATTGTATTTTAATTGTTGTAAGCTGCCCAGAGACCTTTGGGTAGAGTGGGCGGCATATAAGTTAAATAAATAAATAAATAAAAAGACCACTGAAGCCAAAAGAGTCATAAATACAAGCTCCCAGCTTGATATATTTGACATCCACACCCTCCTCTGTACACACACAGAGACATGAGTGGAATCTCACCCCTGTAAATCTGAGCTTTCAAATTAGTAATTATTGCCCTTTATCGTTGCTAACTATGAGTAGAAATTCCTCATAAATAGAGTGGGGCAAAGCACTGGGGTGCAGAGAATGGATGTCAGATCCATAAAAAGAAAAGGAAGAACTGACCATCACAAGAACTAAGGACCAAACAGAGAACCAGGTGAAGCTATTACAAAAAGAAAAATACAGCTTGCAATTTGGGATCGCCATCCGAGAACAAAGTTTGCTGTGCAAAGAAAACTGCCCTCCCCGGCCATACCTGTGCTGCTCTCGCATGACACTCATCTGGCGCAGGCTTTCCTCGTGAACCTCTGCCAGCCGTTCTGTCACCCTCTGCTCCAACACCACTTTCAGTTCCGATTCCAGCTTCACTTTCTGTGCCTCGTAACGTGCCTGGGGTTACGAGAGAGAGCCAGGGAAGAAAAGGTCCACTCCATGCCAACCTTCTAGGGCTGCTCATAGGACTTGCCATGTTCCTAGCCCCTAAAGAGATCATGTACCAGGTTCCAAGCATCCAACGGACGTGGGAAGCATTGGAGCGGAAGAGATACGTGTCACCTTGGAGCCTGGATTCCATTCAATACTAGATTTGGGTCTTTTGATAATCACAGCAGAAATTAGGGGTCAGACGGGGGTTCCTCTGTCCAAATTATTTGGGGAGGGCCCTCCTTGTCCCCAAACGACAAGAGTTGGAGAAGGTCTGAAACTCAGAATTTCTCGTTTAATACAATTATTTGGGAACTAGTCCCGGCTAGATATCTTTTTCTGGCCCTCTCTTTGCCCCCAAACAAGCCTTTGACTGCAGAAGGCCCACCACGTTTGTCACCTTAGTCAAATTCAACTCCATCTTCAGGTTGTCCCTCTCCCGGCGCACGGCCTCCAATTCCGCCCGGAGGTCTTGCACGTCCGACTGCACCGAGGCCAGGGCACGCTGGGCGTCCGCCGCCTTCTGGGATTCTCGTTGGGCCGCGGCCTGGATGGGCACAGGGAAGAGCCAATGGCATGTTGTGGGAAGCTGTTTAGGCCATCAAGAGTCAAAGACACCCACTTTGATGGGTGAAAAGGTACCTTTTGGGGTTCCAGAAGCCCATTTTTTAGCTCCAAGGAGCCTCCGTCGGTCACCCCCCCAGAAGTCCACCTTCTACTGCAGAAAACAGAAACAAAGCAACAACAAAAAAAAGATCCGTGGAAAGGGGGGATGGCATGGGACCCCAAGAAGGCACAGGGAGCCCTGTGTTGCTGCTCCAAAAGCAATAAAACATTTTCAATGGGAGAAAATAGAATTAAGTCACAGGGCATGATTGGGTACTTAGGAGCAGCCTAGAGTCCACGAAATCTGGAGGCCACTTTATTCTCACTGGCTGCCTGAAGGACAGCTTTCTACCAATGTGGCTGTTATCATAATCTGAGAACTGACAGAGCTGAAAGGGACCCTTATAGATCATGGATTCCAGCCCGTCAGGGAGGCCCGGTCAGAAATTGAACGCCAAACCCCGGACTTTGACGCAGCCAGAGACTTAAGCCCCTGAGCTATGCTGCTGTGGGTAGGTAGCTCTTCCATCGTAGTGCAGGAAGGCAAGCCCCCCCCCAGGCACATGCCTGGTTGGCCTCCCCAGTGCCAGGCTGTGCAGGAACAGACTGGGTGTACTCACATCCACCTTCCTTTTTCCACACCTGACTTGAAGCAGCCAAAAAGCAGCTCTTCCCCCCTCCGCCGCCCATGATTTTGCAGCCATTCCAACATTAGCTAACGCTTCCCATCTGTCTCCAGTATCCGAAGCTAACCCTGAAAACAACTGCGACCCCAACGCGGGACACTGGGCCATTTTCACATCCCCAAGTGTGACAGCTAGAAAGCCGAGCTGGGGTCCCTTTAGGACTATTCTCAGGGAACCTTGTTTGGTTGTTCCAGGGCTGGCGGTGGGAAGGGGTTCCACAGCAAAGCACGGCTAAAATTAGAATTGGGCCTTGCTTCAAGAAGATGTCAGCCCAGCCCAAAGATTGGAAACCAAGCCCTTTGAGGAAAGAACTGGGCATATTAAGCCTTGAGAAACGAAAGAGGAGGGGAGAGAGGAGAACACTTTGCAAAGACTTGAAAAGTATTCCTGCAGAGGAGGGAGCAGGGTCTGGTCTTGAATATCCCTGAGTGCAGGATGTTTCATAATGGGCTCAAGCGACAGGAAGCCAGATTCAGGCTGAATATCAGAAGGAACTTCTTAACTGTCCGAGTAGCACGACAACGGGACCCATGACCTCAGGAGGAGATGGTGAGCACTCCAACACTGGAGGCCTTCAAGAGAAAATTGGACAATCCTCTGTCCGATCTGCTTTGATTTGGATTACTGCCTTGAGCAGGGGGGTTGGACTCTACGGTCTTGAAAGGCCCCTTCCAGCTCCATCTGTGTGTGGAAAAAAACCCAATCTCTTCAAGGACAATGAAGGCCACATCGGTCATAGTGTTACAGACCTCGGGGCTGAAATGATGGGAACGTTTTGGGGGGGCCCATTTGCTTTGGGCTGCCTCTCTTCCAATCCCCTGGTCCACTGGCTAGAGAGGAGCAGGGTTGCAGCCTCGCTTATCTAGGAGGACCCTGGGTGACCTAATCCCAACCCCGCTCAGTGCTCTGGGGTCAACCCAGCCCTTTTGGACAGACAGACAAAAATGAGAAGAGATGCTTGTAAAAGAGCACAGGACAGCAGGAGACAGGGCAGGCTCCATTCACCAAACCAAGCACAGAGAGAAAAGGGCCAGGATTAACCCCTTTTAAGGGAAGCCAATGAAAAAGAGAGCAGGGCTCAGCTGTACTTTTAACAGTTGTGTCACCAAGGAAATTTCAGCAGGCGCAGCTTGCATTCAATGCTGCATTCATTGATATTTCATCTTCTAAGAAACGAAGTATCTCCCCCCCATCTGCTCACCCTGTTATTTCCTCCATTAAAGGATTATTTTGCAACCGAGCAGCTCTCAAACGACCACTGGTCTGTGTGAAGCCAGAAAGTCTCTCTTAACTTGCTTCAGGATTATTCCTCCTCCGGGCACCAAACACAGATAAGCGAAGGTCTTTAGAGCATTCACACAGAAGCTTTAATGTGGTCTAATCCTAAAACCTTTACAGCTCCTTTCTCCGTAAAGCACTCTGCACCTTCCCCTGCAGCAGGAGGGCAGGAAATGGGGTGGGGGGAGATGTTGCTTTCCTGCCCCAGCTGCACCTGTTGAATTTTGCACCCAGGGGACCTTTAAGGGCACAACAGCCTTGCTCAGGGAAGGAGGTGGCCACCCAATTTATGACACTTCTTTACCAGCCTCTGCTACAAACTCCAGAGAACGGCACATCTAAGCTGCTCTATATTTTTCAGGAGCCCTCTGGTTTGGGAGGGAGAGCATCTCTTTCCATCACTGTCGTCTTTTCAAAAGCTAAGATCTAGCACCGGCCAATTCAATAACCGCAAGCAAAGCAACTCGAAATTGATGTGACCTCTTGGGTCGATTTGCCATTAAATCTCAAGGGAAGTTTGGAGAGTGAACAAAAAGATAAGGAGGTTTTATTTCTCAGTCTGTTCCTACTTGGAACCAGCCCTGCCGAAGTGGGCGGAGGCGTAACAACAAGTGCTGTGGATGTTATAAAACAGAGCAAGGTCTGACAAAGTCCAGGGGTTTTCAGCTCCCCATCAATGCAAAGTTTAGATTACAAAGAAGTAATACAATCCGGCACTCAGAATAATGATTTGCAAGAGGAAGGGAGAGGTGCCAGGGAGAAAGAAATAAACAATAAAGGTTTTTGATTAGTAAAAAGAAAAAGAAGGCTACACCATTATTCCCTTTTTTTAAAAAAAATCCCTTTGTGCCCTCCATTATTTTTGTGGCAGAGTTTGCGTGGCTATAGCTACTTCCCAACAATTGTAAACGAAACAAGGAACACTTCGCCTGGCTTGGTGATTAGAAAGGCTTCACCTGATGAATGGCTGAAAGTCAGGTGGCTGGCTCAGGCAGTTGTAGGGGAACAGAGGGTGGTTCTGGGAGGAAGGGAGACAAACTGGCTTTTGGTTGCTGAAGGCAAAAGCTATCGATGGATTCTAGTCCTCAAGGTTGAATGATACCTCCGGAGTCAGAGACTTGGAGCACAAGTTGCAGGGACCAGCATTGCTTTTCCATTTTACTAGATCAGCGGTTCCTAATCTTGGGTCCCCAGAGGTTCTTGGACTACAACTCCCAGAAGCCTTCACCTTCAGCTGTGCTGGCCAGGATTTCTGGGAGTTGGAGTCCAAGAACATTTGGGATCCATGGCTGGGAACCACTGTACTAATGGGCTTCGCATAGATCATCGTACTGAACTGGAGAGGCCTTTGGTCTGCTCCGGCATCGCTTAAGTAGCAGGGGAAGCCATTCTTTACAGGTTTAAAGAATGCACATGCTCCCTGAAGATCACAAGACTCAGCTAAGCCACTGAAGAGCCCTGCTCTCTTTAAACACCTTCTTAAGCCTCACGGTGCACTGAAACGGAACAGGACTTTATACACACACACACACCACAAAAAGCATCACTACTGAAAAACCAGCCCTACCTAATGGAAGATATCAACAGGAACCAAGCTGGCATTTTAAGCTTCTCTCTGCATCGCTGAGGACTAGTAACTTTAAACAGAGCCAAAGGGGCCTGAAACCCGCAAGGCAGAAAGAGGTATTGGGAAAAGTCCCCAACAGGTGTGACTAAGGCAGAGCTAACCCTTCA